TTTGCCGCGTCGACGGCGCCCGCGGGCGCGTCGGGGGCCGTCGTCGTCGTGGACCTCGCCGACCTCCCCGCGCGCGAGGTCGGGCGGCGGATCGCCGTCGAGCTGGCCTGGTCGGTCGCGTTTGCGGAGCTGCAGCGGGATCCGCTTCTGCTGCGCGCGCGGGCCGTCGTCGTGCGGCTGCCCTACGCCCGCCTTCCCAGCTCCTTCGCGGACGGCACGGAAGGGGCGGGAGGGGCAAACGGGGGGATCGCCGCGGCCTACACGGCGATGGTGGATTTCGTCGGGCAGCACCTCAAGCTCGTCTGGACGGCCTCCGCGCACGCCTTCATGGAGGAATGGCGCGCGCGCGGGGAGGGGGAAGGCGAGCTCGCGGCCCTCGCACCTACCCCACCCGGGGTTCTTTTCGTCGGGAAGGACGAGGGGGAGTTGGCAGCGACGGTAGGGGGGCTTCTTCAGCACTACCGGGGGGGGCCCTCTGAGGAAGGGGGGGCGATGGCTGAAGGGGAGGTGGTGGTGCTTCGCACGGATAACCACCCCAGCGACGTTTACGAGGCGCTGTTGGCGAATCGAACCGAGGAGGCTCGGCGTTTGGCGGAGGTTTGGGGGGTTCCTGTGCGTCTTCTCGTCGCCCCGGTACGCGTGCTGCTCAATGACGGCGAGGAGCCGGTGGATGCCTATACGCAGAAGGAGTTGGCGCGGTTGAATTTCTGCCCGTGCTGTGGATCCTGCGGGGCGAAAGAGGATTCACACGGCCACAGCCACGGCCACCATCACTAAACCAGAGCGTGAAGTATAAGATATACATATACACACACCCATACATATATGTCTATATTTATATATATATATATATTTATCTGAAGAGCAGGATCCATTGGAATACGAATTTGTTTTATTAAGCACATCGCATCTTCTATGCATGCACATCCTACTTTCCTTTCGGACCCCTCTTGAATGCACGGAGAGGGAGATGAGGGGGCTTGGTTTATGAAATTCCGGAGCAAAGTACTGCAGCCACACTCTGCTCTTCACTAAGTCGTTTTTTTTTGCGATTAGGAGTGGAGGGTATTGGTGTGCGAATACGTTCTTAATAATAATGATAAAAATGCTGCGTTAGGAGTTTATTTGAGTATATTGACTGGTACTTTTTCGTGCTGTTATATTAAATATGCCTCTGTCCAAGGGAGCAAAGGATGGAGCCTCTCCACAAAGTCACTTGTGCGTTTGACAATGCATCTTAAGAAAAAAACGAAGCGATACACTTATTAAGTAATTTAACATAGCCTTTTCGCCAAACGAGGGCTCCTTAGTATTCGTCAAGTTCTTTTTTGATCGATATGAAGTGTATTAGTTGGTTGGTGAAGATTCTTTTTACCCTTCTGTTTGCGCTCAGTACATCTCCTTTCTCACTGAGTGTGTGGTTAATTGGTTTAACCCTCATAAAGAACTGTACATGTCCTACCCCACCGTTGTTTGTCATTACGAGGCACTCACTCTTTCATTCATTTTTTTCTCTCAAGGTTTCACGTTCTTCTCAAAAGCGTATACAAAAGATAACTGTGCAATTGAGGTGTCGGAACGTTATTGAATCTCACACTGCATAAAGCTAAACAAAAACACTATTATTAATACTTCTTTATATATATTCACTGAGCATTTAATAAGTTCCGAGTGCACCATTTCTATACACAGTCAAGTGTTAAACATGATTGTTTTATTCCACATTTTAGTATTGTTTATTTTTTCCCCTGTTTTTTCTTTTGCAACCTCCCAGATAGGGGAAATCGAGAAGCAGCAAGCGATAGTACATCTAAAGTTCGTTTACCTTTCTCTATTTTTCTATCCTTTTATTATATCTATATCCATAGCTTCTCATCAATATTTTAATCTAAAGTTGAAAATTTCAAGTTACCCTAGCTCATTTTTTTTCTTTCTCTTATATATATATATATATATATATATATATACACCTCTGACTTGCTTCTGCGCCCGAATCAATCACTATAAACTCTACACGGCACTTTTGCGTGTGCGAGTTAGCCTGTCGTAAATTACTATTCCTTCTCTTACGTTTTCTTCCGTGAAAGGCTCATCGTTCCTTTTTCCTTCAAAACTGTGTGACACTGGTGTGGGGAAGAAAGGTCTTGACCAAATTTCTTCCCTTTCGTTTTTCCTATAAAGGAGTAATATATACATGTATATATATGTATTTTCCCTTTATCTATATACATATATATCACTGTAAATTTAGATTAGTCTAACGACATGCAACTTTCTCTCTTTGAGCAAGATGACGACGCGGAGTACCTTGAGCGCTTTCACCTACGCGATCTCGTGGAGCACTGGCTCGAGCGGATGGGCCGCGAGCGCCCGTCCGATCCCTACCAATTTATCATCGATGAGGCGATGGAGTACCGCATCTGCAACGGCGGTGTGGTGACCTGCCCGAATAAGTGGTGCCGCACGACGATGCCGGCGGCGTCCTACGAATCCCACCGCGCGACCTGCATCCAGGATAACTGGATCCGCTGCGTGCGCTGCAACCAACGCGTGGAGGTGTCGAAGATGTTTCAGCACCGCCTGCACTGCCGCATCGAGCGTTGCGCGTACTGCGGGGAGATGGTGCTGCCGCGGATGCTCGGGTTCTGCCCGTATCGGCTGCTCCTCGCCGCCGATCGGATCGCCCGCGCGCATCGGTTTCGCCGCGA